ATTATAATCTGACTCAAACACAAACTAACACAGATTATAATCTGACTCAAACACAAACTAACCCAGATTATAATCTGACTCAAACACAAACTAACACAGATTATAATCTGACTCAAACACAAACTAACACAGATTATAATCTGACTCAAACACAAACTAACCCAGATTATAATCTGACTCAAACACAAACTAACACAGATTATAATCTGACTCAAACACAAACTAACACAGATTATAATCTGACTCAAACACAAACTAACCCAGATTATAATCTGACTCAAACACAAACTAACACAGATTATAATCTGACTCAAACACAAACTAACACAGATTATAATCTGACTCAAACACAAACTAACCCAGATTATAATCTGACTCAAACACAAACTAACACAGATTATAATCTGACTCAAACACAAACTAACACAGATTATAATCTGACTCAAACACAAACTAACCCAGATTATAATCTGACTCAAACACAAACTAACACAGATTATAATCTGACTCAAACACAAACTAACACAGATTATAATCTGACTCAAACACAAACTAACCCAGATTATAATCTGACTCAAACACAAACTAACACAGATTATAATCTGACTCAAACACAAACTAACACAGATTATAATCTGACTCAAACACAAACTAACCCAGATTATAATCTGACTCAAACACAAACTAACACAGATTATAATCTGACTCAAACACAAACTAACACAGATTATAATCTGACTCAAACACAAACTAACCCAGATTATAATCTGACTCAAACACTAACTAACACAGATTGTAATCTGACTCAAACACTAACACACACAGATTATAATCTGGTGAAGACACATAATCTCACTCAGTTAATAGGTTTTTTGTAGTTTTGGTAAACATGGAGCTGCAGCCAGAAAATAAAATGAAATTTTTTTTTAAAATTCTGACAAATTTTTTATTTTTTATTTTTGTGATTCAAACTTTTATTTTGAAGTTTCAAACAGAACCTTTTAATCCTGGTTAATCCTCAGATTATTCAGATAAAACTACACAAAAACAAAACGTTTGTGGACTCCTGGTCCTGGTGGATCTGGTCCTTCTTCCCCTCATAAAGACTCTAAACCTGGTTCTGGCTGATTCTGCTTACGGGTCACTGGATCCAGTTTAAACCGGTTCTAACCAGGTTGGTTGTGTTCTGGTTGTGAAGCTGGACTCTTTAATCCAGATTTGAATCTGATGTGTGTGTAAACGCTCTGAGCCTGGTTCACTAACCCACCTTCATCGCATGTCTTCCTCACTTCCTGCAGCTGCTTTGTTTTTTTTACCTCACTTCTAAAAAAAACAAAACTTTTTCTTCACTTTATTTTTCACAACAAAAACTCACTTTTTTTCTCTTTTTGTTTGCGACTCAAACATAAAAACTTTATTTTGATGGTTTTTGATGAAACAGCAGGAATAAAAGTTAAAACCTTTTTCAGGATCAGATCTTTGTTGATCGTTGAGGTTTAAATATTTAATTAATAATCATAAATTCTGATCTTTAGGCTCTTTAAAGATCTAAATGTTAGTTTTTGTATTTAAAGTCCAGAACCTCAGATCAGATGTTTGTTTGTTAACTTTATCTTGTAACGTAAAGGTTATTCAAACAGGAAGTGAGCTAAATGAGAACGATGTTAGAGGAGACCTGAAACAGGATTTTAGGAAACCAATGGCAGCTGCAGGTTCTGGTTCTGGTTCTGGACACGGAGCTGTGCTCATGACAGTCAACATCTTACCTGCTGCAGGCTGCTCTTTGAACAGAACCTTACGTGGAAATGTTGTCCGTGCTAATGGAAATAGCAGTTAGCAGTAGCAGTTTCTGCTGTAATGACTGTAAATGAAACTGACACATGGTGTAAAAGCTAAAATAACTGAAATGAACAAATCCCTAACTTAAAGAATAAATTAGTTATTTACATAAAAGCTAGAATTAGCAATAAAAAGACAAACAGCTAAAAGCTAAAATGAGCCATAGCTTTAAGCTAAAATTAATGAAGCAGTAGCTAGCAGTAGCTTTTTAGATTTAAGCTAACGTTATTATTTTGTTTTATTTTATATAATTTATTCCATTAACTCATTATTGTTTTGGTCTTAATTAAATCATTTCTTGGTGGTTTATTATTTTAGTAAAGTTGGAGAAGGTTTGGAATAAATAAGTTTTTACTTTTTCCCATTCCTTTTCAGATAGGTTTTATCTTTTTATATTTTTTATTCATGTTTGAAATAAACTAAATTAAAGCTAAAAGTAGCTAAATTTAACTTTAAAAATTGCAACTTTATTAAAGGAAACCATAAATAAAATACTTTAAAATATATAAAACTACAAAAAACAAATGTCAGAGCCGTGGTCTGTTAAATGAGCTGAATGTTTTGTATCTCAGTGGCTAAAACAGCTGAAGTTGTCAGCTTTTATGACTTAGCTGTTAAAATGAAACGTACTCATAAAACTTTACTTACAAATATAAATGTTGGTTTCATTCAGTCACGGCTTTATTTTTCATCCAGAGTCGCATCAAACAGCTGTTTCAGATGAAATATTTTATGGTTCTGGCTGTTTACAGCAACAGATATCAGCTAAATATTCGATAAACGTTCAGTCGTGAAGGAAAACTAACTGTTCCAGCAATCTGAGCAGGAAGGCTTTTATTTTTTAAAGAACAAATGCAAGGAAGTTAGACTCCTCCCTCCTTGAAGTTAAGCCCTTCCCCTGACGTTAGAGCCCTCCCTCCCTGAAGTTAATCCCCTCCCCTTGGAGTTAGACTCCTCCCTCCTGGAAGTTAAGCCCCTCCCTTGACGTTAGAGCTCTCCCTCCTGGAAGTTAAGCCCCTCCCTTGACGTTAGAGCCCTCCCTCCTGGAAGTTAAGCCCCTCCCCTGAAGTTAGAGCCCTACCTCCCTGGAGTTAAGCCCCTCCCCTGAAGTTAAGCCCCTCCCTCCCGTGGAGCTCAGGGTCAGTTCTGTGTTTGAAGCAGCTTTTTGAGCCTCACCAGCTGCCGTCCCCACGTCTCCCTCTTGTGGCTGATTAGAAGACTTCATCTTCATCAATCATCTTCATCATCATCATCGTCAGGACCTGAACCGTTCTGGTTCTGGTTCCGTCACCTTCTCACTTCTTTCTGTGTTGTTTATGGAAAAGTTTAAAGGTTTCAAACTGGATGGTTTTCTGCTCCTCCTGGGACCGGGTCCAGGAGTTCTGCTCCTCCTGGAGGTTTCAGTTTTTAGTTTTCCACCTCAGGATGTTTTTAGGTTGAGTCTCCTCCTCCTCCTCCTCCTCCTCCTCACAGTTTTCTGTTCTCCTCCTCCTGACCTTCTTGTCTCTTTAACCTTTGACCTTGTGCTGCTCTCCCTCTCTGCTCAGGGTCAATATTGACCCGAACAAGCGGCAGGCGGCCAAATCTGGTCCGGCCGTCCCCTCTGCCCCGGGAGGAAAGACCCTTAGTAAGTCCTCTGACCTTCGGCCTGTCAGCCTCTCCTTCCTTCCTTCCTTCTCTCATCCCTCCATCGTCTGCTCCTTTTTCTTTGATCTTTTCGTTTCATCTCATTCATGAAATATTCTGTCCCTCTCTCTCTCTGGTGCGTTCAGATTTCTGCCGTTTCCTCAGATTCTCTCTTTCTTTCAGATTGTCGAGCAGAAGATGTAGAGAGTTGTAGGAAGATGAAGATCTAGAGTAAGGGCTGCTTGAATTCCTCTTCGTCCTTTTTGAAGACAAAAGATTAAAGTTTTCAGCCCCACACCCCCCTCGGTCATGTGACCTCCCTCCCCCGGCTGGTCCAGGACCGTCTGTGTGTCCACCCGTCCTGTCTCTGTGTCCCGCTGGCTGCAGTGCATGATGGGAGCTTTTCCCGACACTCCTGTCCCGTCAGAAGCAGGAAGCTGTGTTTCACTGAGCGAGGAGGCGGGGCTTAGCTGATCGAACACCTGAGAAAGAGATCAGTTATTTAAAAAATAAAAGTTTTATGTTTCGGTGAGATCTCTGGGACTCGGATGTAAAGTTTTAGTTTCAGTCTGAAGAAGTTAACCCTGAAAACCCCGCCAAAATAAAACGCTGCTGTTTTATTACATACAACATATCATCATGTGATCATCTCGGCTTTAAAACAAAAAAACTTTAACTGAAGAGTACGGGATAAATGTTGTACCAGCAGGAAGTGAATCTGAATTGTTCAGATTGAATCTGAATGTGCAGAATTTGAAATTGAATTCATTGGTTTGAAAATAAATTTCACTAAATTGAAACTAAATTTAAAGTTTTGTATCTGAATTAATTTTCTTTGAAACTGTATTTTGGTTTATTAAAAAATCAGTTTGACTACTTTCACTTTCAGTTCCATAATTCAGATTTTTGTGTCACATCCTGGTCCTTG